TGTTAAACTTATGGCTAACCCTGAAAGTTAACTATGCATATATCTTGGCAATTTATAGTTACATGTATCCATCCCATACAACTGTAAACACCAAGTTTGACAATTATCTAAGAAAAAAAAAAAACTGGTTGCATTTGGTAAGTGCAAAAAGAGTAAATGGAAATTTATATAAATGAAAAATCGGTTTGGTTTTACGTTGATAAATTTTGTATCGTGTTTGATTATGATAGGTCAAATTACAAGACCGAATCTATATATTTCTTTTACATTAACCTCCTATTTTAAATGCAAAAGCCTCAAAAAAACAAATTTATTTTCATTTTCAATTTAGATTCCGTTTGGGAAGAGTGCAAGTGCTAGTTTAGTGCATACATGCCTTTTAGTTAAGTTTTACTAGTATTTGGCAAGAATGCATTTGTGATTTGAGAATGACTCCAAATACAGATTTTAAGACATATTTGCATTCAAAATGAGAACAAAATTTGCATCTAAAAAATAAATATAAACTTTGCACTCAAAGTTGATCAATGTTAAAAAGGTATATTCCAATCTTGGGATTCATATTTACCACTATTACAGCTAAAAAATATTCGACAAAAAAATAAATTTATCAATGCAAAACTAAACCAACTTTACATTTGTATGGAACATAATGCACTCTACATACTTATATTTGCACTGTTCCCAACGGAGCCACCAAACAATGCAGAACTTATCCAACGTACATATTCACCTCAGTTCTACATTTTCATTATTATCAGATGCAGCCAAATGCCAAGTTCATTAGCTGAATTGTGAGAGTTACATGTCATCCATCAAATCAGGGCTATTGCTTGATGTAAATAATAAATTTTCAAACTGAAAAAAAGTGAAAACATGGGGTTTAGTTTTAGCTAGGTTAGGTAAGAGTGCAAATAATGGACCAAAGTGAATTTGCACCCTGATTCAGTATTGCATGCACTTAGTAAGAATATATTTTTGTATGAAAAACGACAACAAATTTGCTTTCCTTTTAATATGTTTGTTTTCAAAATGAGTAAAATTTGCTTCGAAAAATGGATGCAAACTTTGTATTCAAAGCCATCAATGTAAAGAAGAAATCTAGTCTTGGAATTCATGTTTGTACACATCAATATTATATGTCATTCGTCAAATTAACATAATCCTGTCCAGGATTTTAAAAACTGACCCAAAAATAGAACCACTTTATAAAACTGTCTATAGAATCAATATTAGTTCAATCCAATCCGGTTCAGTATGAACTCATTACATGGGCCAGTGCGAGATAGAGGGAGTTGATGGCCTACTTTGTCAATCGTCATAGCCTTGGGTTAGACTTGTGAATCTCTCTCTCTCTCTCTCTCTCTCTCTCTCTCCTACACAACTGGGGTAGCCATCCCCCTCCCTCAAGGTTTTTAAAGCTGACCTGGACAATGAACTGGTCAGGGGTCCGGTTCCCGGGTCGAACAGTCCAACCATTCGAACTGAATAAATGGCCCATTTTAACAAAAAATTAAAAAAATAAAAAAATAAAAACTGGCCAAACCGTTGAGTGGTTCGACCACCCGGGTCAGCAATTTTCTGACCAAATCAACGGTTTTGAAGTAAAACGGAACTGGTCACCTGATCGGTTCCCGGTTTTTCCAGTCCAGTCTGGTTTTGAAAACTATACCCTCCCTTAACCCCCAAACCCTGGTGGCAGCTGGATTTGATCCCAGATCTCTTCTCTCTTATGTCTTTAGAAAGAAGATTTAGAATATCCTAGGGAAAAACCATTAATTTGATTAATTTTAAATGTAATCCATGAACCCGTTAAGGTCAAATGGTTCAACCATCTGGATCAATGGATTTTTTATCTTTTCATTGTTTTTTAAATAGCACTCCAGGGGCATAAATCGGACTCGTAAACATGACAGATTTCTGGGTTAAATGGTTCGATGTCAACACACCATTTTTGATATTTTTAAATTACGAAACTAAGATGATAACATGCACCCACTTCTTGCAGAAGTATGGATTATATGGGGAGGATCAGCTTTGGTCGGTTTGATGTCAATCTTAAAGTAATTCAAGGTGTTGTTACTTCTGTCATACTGAATAATAGTGGACAGATTTGAGTACAGAGCCAAAGTTGTGGACCTCATGGTATTTCAGGAATATTGTATTTGCAATTTTACACTGACACAGAAAAAAGAAACATAACCTATAAACTTGAAACAGGTTCAGGCATGGTTTTTAAAACTGGACAGGATTGGAAAAACTGAGAACCGGTCAGGTGACTAGTTCCATTTTTTCCAAAAACCAGATTTCTCCCTAAAACCATTGATTTTGGTCAATGAATCGCTAAACCGGACGATTAATCATTTGAACCGTTCGAACGATTTTGATCGTTTTTTATTTTTTGTCAAAACGAACAGAACGTTCAATTTGAACGATTAGACCATTTGACCCGATAATCAGACCCCTAATCGATTCAATCACTAGATCGGTTTTAAAAACCATGGGTTCAGGTTCTGGGTCAAATTTCCGATCCTAACTGTAATTCAACCCTACTCGACATCTTCAGGTTGGAGTTGGGCTAAGCCAGCCCAAATTGCATCCCTAATTTTATTTGGCGATCAATCTTAGTCCATGGCTATTATGGGCCTTTAAATGACAAAACAAAACCTTAAATGCCCATGTAATGTCCTTCATGATAAGACATCCTACTTACTCTAGGCTGGGCTTGGGCTGATATTTTGGTTGTTGCCTCTTCCAGGCTCTCAAGCCTATTTGGTCTATAGTAGAATGGGCCCCAGAATAAATGCCCAGTCATGACAAAAAGGTTTTACAGTTTGCTTGGGCTGATATCTCAAAGAGGTGTCAATTGGACGTATTTGGTCCGACCCGATCCAGTCTAATGTGAGTCCATTTATAAATGGATTGGACCCAATCCAGTCCAAATCCAATCCAATCCATTAAAATGTAAATTGATTGGATTGGATCCAATCCAAACCAAATGAAATATCAAAAATTATATAAAAGCACTTTTAGCATTGAAAAAGCATTTTTGTAAAAGTACTTTCATAAAAATATTTTCATAGAAGTGTTTTTACAAAAGAACTTTATTGAAAGTATTTCGGAAAAGTGTTTTTGTACTTTTTGAAAGTACTTCCATAGACTTATAAAAGTACTTTTGTAGAAGTGCTTTGTAAAAGTACTTTTATAAAAGTACTTTTGTAGAAGAGTTTTTATAAAAGTGTTTTCATAAAAGTACTTTTGTAAAAGTGCTTTCGTGTTTCATAAGTGATTTTCTAAAAGTGCTTCCATAAAAGTACTTTCATAGAAGTGGTTTTCTAAAAGAGCTTCCATAAAAGTGCTTTCGTAAAAGTTTTTTTTTTTTTTGTAAAAGTGATTTCATAAAAATGCTTTCGTGTAATACTTTTATAAAAGTGCTTTTATAAAACTACTTCTGTAAAAGTGCTTTCATAAAATTACTTTTATAAAAATGTTTTCGTAAAAGTATTTTTATAAAAGTACTTTCATAAAAATACATTTTATAAAATTACTTTTATAAAAATGTTTTTATAAAAGTGCTTTCATAAACTTGATTTTATGTTGTTTTCAGTTTTGGTTGATTTTAAATTGGACAAGGATTTGGCCTGATCATGATCGGATTATTGAAAATTTGGTTTACATCTAATTCAAACCAATAAGAATATGGACCAATTTATTTTGGATTTGCCCAAATAGACTGTCTAAATCCGATTTAATAAAGTTTGGATCGATTGACACCCCTAATTTCAACCACGACTTCGACAAATGACCAGAAGGCCATAGTGAGCTGGGTCTGAGAGATTTTTAATGCCTCAGTCCAATTGTCCAAACCCAACTGAAGCTAATGGTCCTGTTGAAATGTTTAGACCCAAGAAAAAATGCAACAATGACAGCCGACGGCAGTAGATGCATATATGCCTTCAAATTCAATGCAAGAACGCGATAGTTGCTGAAACATGGATGGGATTTTTAGGTGCTAATTATGTGTTGAGTCATTGAGTGAAGGAGACGGAGACTCAATGACTCAACAGGGTTACTGGTTGACTTGAGAAAGAGGAAGACCCAGGTTCTTTACTGCATGTGGCGAAGTTGATCCAAGAAAAAACTTTTACTACACTACACCCACGACCATTTCAATAATTTAATTAATTAAAAAACCAACTGTACAACTCACCTTATACCAAAATAATAATAATAAATAAAAGGGTAAATTGCAGATTATTTAAGGCCTAGTTTCATTTTAGTATCCAAATTTCAAAATGTCTCTAAATCATTAACTGTTGATGAATGTTCTGTAAAAGGATGCAAATGCTTTTAAGCTGTCATTTAATTTTCTTTATCAATCATTTAAATGTCTTTCAGACTGTTCATCATTGTTTTGATTCAATCTTGACGACACACTTAAAATTTAGACTGACACACTTAAAATTTATATAAGTTTTATATATAAGTTTAAGTACTAGACTGACACACTTAAAATTTAGATATCAGAGTGAGATTAACCTCAAAATACAGAGTAACAATATGCAAGACCAAGGAGATCAACCTCCATCAAAGGCTATTCAATGTGTTAAGCCAAACAAATAAAGTTTGAATGAGAAAAGTCTTTAGAATAAACATAAAATTGAATCTAAGGCTCAGTTTGGAAATACTACAAATGTATATTATTTTTACATATATTTATACTGTACATATTTGTAACTTCAAGAGTTAAAGTACACCCTAATATGTTGAAACTTGAAAGCAGTGCTTTCCATTTGTGGTCAAACTAACCAACCAAACAAATGTACGTGCCCTAAACGATGCATGGTTTCCATTCTTCTGCATGAGTCAGCGCATGATGGATAAGAGGGTATGCATGGCATTATTGTAATAATGGTAGAAAGGAAGGGGCATCATTTATGTCAGTACTTTTATATAAATTAACCTAAACCTCATCAGTGCGTTGCGTAACATGAGTAACAGTTCCAGTCTCTACCAGGGTGACTGAAATGGCTGGTAAGGCTTTCTCCCTCAAAGCTCTTTTCTTTTTCTTCTCTCGGATTATCTTTAGAAGAACAAAGAATCCATCTAATATCTGGGTCTGGAGAAAGGGTGGCAATGTCCATGAATCTCAGTTGAAAGTTCAGAAGCACCCTTTTCTTGCCCATGGACTGGAGGAGCTCTTAACCCAAACTCTGATCTTTGATGCGGAGGGTACACTGTTGAAATCATCTTCTCTGTTTCCTTATTTCATGCTTGTAGCGTTCGAGGCTGGAGGTACTTTCAGGGCTCTTGTTTTGTTTCTCTTGTATCCTTTTATCTGCATGGTTGGTGAAGAGGTGGGGTTGAAGATCATGGTCTTTGTTTGTTTCCTTGGGGTCAAAAGGAAGAGCTTCCGAGTTGGGACGGCTGTGTTGCCAAAGTTTTTCTTAGAGGACGCTGGGTTTGAAGGTTTTGAGACGTTGGCCAAGTTTGGGAGAAAGGTGGGTGTGAGCGCTTTGCCCAGAGTGATGGTTGAGGCATTTTTGAGGGATTATTTGGGGGTTGAGTATGTGGTGGGAAGAGAGTTGAAGGTGTTTCGTGGGTATTTTGTGGGTCTAATGGAGGAGGATAAGGAGGAGGCCAGTCTGGTTCTGCAAAGGATGTTGGGAGAAGAAAAGCAGCAACCCAGTGGCGAATTCGTCGGGATTGTTGGCCGCAACGGAGCTCTTCTTGATCATCAGCTCTTCTCCCACTGCAAGGTCAGTCATTTCAGTTTGGAAGGAGTACAAATGCAAATATGTAGGGTAGAAATACATACAAAATACAAGGTTTTGCACTCTACGTATTTGTATTTATACTCCTTCCATCCAAACTGAGCCTTAAAAGATTTTCGTTTTTGGATCGAGAAATATGGATCAGTAATTATTTAAAAGTGATCAGTATATATCCTCCTTCAAAACAGGACATCTACTTGGTGAGCGAAGCAGAAAAGAGGAAGTGGAGTCAGCTTTCCAGAGAAAAATACCCCAAACCTCTCATCTTCCATGATGGTAGATTGGCCTTCAGACCAACCCCAGTTGCTATGCTGGCTTTATTCATGTGGATCCCCTTTGGGTTACCTCTTGCCATCATCAGAACCCTCGTCGCTTTGTTGTTACCCTACAAGTTGTCCAACCCTATTCTAGCCATGAGTGGGATGAGACTGAAGCTAACCAAACCCAAATCTTTTCTCAGTTCCAGTAGCCCCAAGCCAGAGCTAGAATCCTCCAGCTCCAAACCAAAAGGCCTTCTCTACGTCTGTAATCACAGAACACTCTTGGACCCAGTCTACCTTGCCACAGTCCGCAGCAAACCAGTCACAGTAGTCACCTACAGCTTGGGTCGGGTCTCAGAGATGTTATCACCAAACAGAACCGTCCGCTTGACAAGAGACAGAGAGCGAGATGCAAGGATGATGGAGAAGTTATTGAGGCAAGGTGACCTGGTTGTCTGCCCGGAAGGAACCACATGCAGGGAGCCGTATCTGCTGAGGTTCAGCCCCCTGTTTGCAGAGATGAGCGATGACATAGTTCCTGTGGCAATGGATTCCCAGGTTAGCATGTTTTATGGTACAACTGCTACCGGGCTCAAAAGCCTGGACCCACTCTTCTTCCTGATGAACCCATTTCCGTCCTACAAGGTTCATTTCCTGGAGAAGGTATGTGGGCTGTCCAAGTGTGTTAATGGCGGACAATCGAGCTTCGATGTGGCCAATCATGTACAGAATCAGATTGGTCGAGTGTTGGGCTTCGAGTGCACTCGACTTACACGAAAGGACAAATATTTGATTTTGGCAGGTAACGAAGGATTGATCGCAGCAACAGCTGGGAACAAATCCCAAAATCAGTCGCTTGTTTCCAACAGGGCAACAGCTAAATAACGGCAGCTTTTGCTGTTTAGACGGTCCTCGACTCGTCGTTGTCTGATATTGTAATGTTGAAAGTTGAAACATGTCTTTGCTGTGCATGTCTATTCCTTTTCATGAATTCCTTCCTCTACTTTTTTTATGTATTTTATCTATGGAGTATTAATATATGGAATTTCCATATATGGATATGGCCTGATGTAATACGGTTGTATATAAATTGCTTCACATGGGTGGAAGACGAGAATAAACCTAACCATAAATGGAAGGACAACACAACATCTGACCTGCACAAAAAAAATACAAGGGCTCTACAGTATGGCAATGTGGTAAGTTTGGTTTGCTTGTATGTTTTTTGGTCAATTAAATCGATTTGATTAAGTTAGGGAATTGGTTACCGAAGCTGACCGATCATTAGTGAAAATCGGTTAACTTGAGTTGTATCAGTTTGTATTAATTTATTAATTTAATTATTAAATTTAAAGTTAAAAATTATAATAATATTATAAAAAATAAAATTTAATATGTATATAATCATATTGGGCCAGTTTTGGTTGACCTCTCAAGCAAGGGTGAAGCCAAGTATATTGGTGGGGGATCCTTGCCCCTCTTCCCCCCCTAAATTTGAAATAAAATTGTAAAGGATCATTCTTTAAGGCTCCTCCAACTCCCAAAATTAAAAAAAAATATATATTTACTTAAAAAAAGAATCTGTAGTAAACCAAACCCTTTTGGGCCATTTTTCCTTAAGTCCTACTTCTTTTTCTCTCCATCTCATTTTCTTGTTTAACTTGACACCCCTCCCCTATAAATCACATCCTGCCCGTAACTTTGACATCAATCCACGGGCAGGATTCAGTCCACCCTAGGTGGAGCTAGGATTTTCAGGGTGGACCGAATCATAAAACCCCCAAAAAAAACGAAAGAAAATTTTTGGCTCTGCCATAATGCCTAATACCCACTGCTCTATGGAGACGTGGATACTATATCGTAAACAGTAATAGATCCTTGCACCATCTTCATGCCACATAGCAGCCATGCATTGGGAACATCTCATGAATATGACAAAATTACTTGTATAGAAGATATTCCCGATACATAGCTTCCCTTCCCCCCGGATCCGATGTTCCTTATTTGTATGTTATCATTTTGTTCTCAATTTATGTCTGCAACATGATATAAGGTTGGTGTGAGGAGCAGATCCTAGTTTCCTTGTGAATTTGATAAATAACAATCTGATTGGTTATCGCTTTTATGATAGCAGTTGATTGGTTACAAGTGTCAATGTCGAATTACTGTATTTATTAATTCGAGTGGGGTGTCGTGATAGGTCCTTTTGTTAAGATTTCCCAACTAACTTGCAAGCTGGCCTTTGTCCTTTGAACACCAAAACTCATTAATACATATGTGAAAATAATGTAGGGCGAGAGAGATTGCTTACTTTAATCGATGTGTATTCATGTCTCATCTTTGCAGTGTAAGTTTATTTTCATTTACCTTAATAGTTTGGTAACAGTGCAAAAAATATGTATCAATTAATGTAAATGTAAACTTTCTTAAAGGGTGAGAATTATACTTGGCAAAAAGTTGACTCGACCCGTGAACCCAATCCGAAAAAAACAGGGTTAGGGTTTCATATTTAGCTACCTGAATGTGAAATGACCCGACCTGACCCCAACTCGAAAAACTGGGTTGGGTCATGGGTCAATCCGCTGACCCGATTGTCAAGCCTAATTGGGATTATTTATGCATTGTTAGAAGTTTTCACTCTTTAATTTTTTCTATTTAGTCTTTATTTTTTATTGTTTACTCTTTAAATTGTTAAATGTTCAAGTTTTTTTATTTTATATTTAGAATTTTAAGGTTAATTCTTTTAATTTTGACATTTTTCATGTAATTTTTCTTTATTTTTTTAAATTTCAATTATTTTTTGGGATGACCCAAATTGATTCATGGGTCAACCCTAACCCAAATATTTAGGGTTAAGGGTTTGGCATTTGACAATCCAACCCGAAATTCAACTTGACCCAACCCGAACCTGACCCACCCAACCCAATTGTCAGGTATAGTGAGAATATAAATTTGGTTTGGTTTTGCAGTGATAAATTTTGTATTGAGTTTGATTATGATTGATACAAACACAAATCTCAAGAGTGGAACACATTTTTTCTACGTCAATCAATTTTGCTCTCGAATGCAAAGTCATTTGCAAAAACAAATTTACATTCATTTCCAATACAAAAATGTATTCTTAACGGAAATAAACTGCAATGGAGAACAAATTCACCTTGGTCTTCTACATTTGCAATCTTAACAAATGTAAATACAGCCACAGGCTACCACCATTACTCTATTCTCTATTGTGCTTGTTTTGAAACTCGAAAGAAAAGGTGGGAAATTTGTACAAGTTTCCCTATCTTTCCCCACGTTTTCAATCAAACCAAACACAGTCTATTATGAGAGAGAGAGAGAGAGAGGCGGGGATCATATTTGTACAGGTTTCCCTATCATCCTCACAGCCCTTGCAGCTGCACAATGAGTAGGAATGGCAACAGGGTGGGTTCGGGGTGGGGATCATATTCTCCGTCCCTGACCCTAATTCTGAAATTAACCTCCATCCCCATCCCCGATTCCTGCCGGGGATAAAATTTGTCCTCCATCCCTGATCCCCGACGGGGATGAATTCCACATGGGGACCCAAATCCCTAAATTTTTTAGATAACAATATTTTTTTGAAAAATAAATTTATTTAAAAAAATAAAAAATAAAAAATATAAATTATAAATAATATTTAAATATATTTTGATATATATATATATATATATATATATAATCGGGGACAAGCCGGGGCAAGGACCTCAATCACATCCCAACCCAACTGGGTCGAAAAAGTCAGAACCCATTAAAAATGAGAAAAATTACTATCCCTAACATTAAGAGCATCTCCATACTTATATGTTTTTAATCCATGGTGCAATGTTAGTATTTCCGATGCATGCACCGAGATTGGTGTGAAGAGGAAATCCGAATTCAACTGTAAATGTTATAGTAGTGCCCTAATAAATATGAAATGATAAATGCATGCAGCTGAGGTGAGAACGGTTATATAATCATTTTCCCACTTTATAGCACTTTAAAGCCATGCCATTCCAGTTCATCCAATAACCTTTTGCTTTGCTCCACATCCCCCCATATATTAAAAATACCACCCAACATACTTGCAACTTTTTAGTAGTCATACAAAAATTCAAAGACTCCCAACAAATGTTCAGGAGGAGAGGCAACGGGTTCGGCCTGGTGAAGTTCATCCTGGGCAGAGTTAATGATATCAAGATGTGGTTCGGTCTGGATTGGTCATATAAGATGATTAGTTTTTAAGGTGTTTGGTAAGTTTTTTTGTGTGGTTTTTTGGGCTTTTCAAAACTCGGAAGACCAATATTTGTTTTTTTCTTTTGTTCGGCGATGAATGACAAAAAGCCACGTGAAAGTTCAAAATGGCTGAAAATATGGAAGCTTCATTTTTGCACCTAAAACCGTTCGTTTAACAGATATCTTGATTAGGACACTTACCAAACGGTCTAGATCTTTAAATATAGGACTCCAAAAGCTCATCATATCTTTTGGCTATCTAAACTATTAGAAGATCTTCTTAAAAAATACTTGCCAAAAAACACCTTTATATTCTCAACATTTTAAAGTTTGTATGCAGCCTACATTTCTATATATGCACCTAAGATCTGATCTATTGAGTGGGCCTTTATTTCAAGGAGCTGGCCTAGGCCCGTAGTAAGAATGTGTTGTGCTTCTACGCCACGTCTAGTGAGATGGATGGGTGATGGAAGGCTCACTTATTTCATCTCTGGGCTGCCTATGACCCAGGCCCAAAATTAACAACAAGCGGTAATTCTTAACCACTCAGACCCAAAATCAACAACAAGCGAAATTAACCCTTCAACATTGCATTTTCTTATGCTGTAAGGTGGGTTAAGTGGCAGTGTTATCCACCAGCCTTTATTCCTTATCCCTCCTTCATGAATTGGGATCTGTTTCTTACAGAGCGTTCCTCGCATCGACTTCACAGTCACACATCCTACCGTGTATTAGAAACATCTTAATAACAAATAAATATTGGAGTTGTTCCCGATGTATATTTGGATTCTCGCAGCGACGATATTAATACAAGGGAAGAGGGTACTGCAATTGGAAGACCAGTTGCACGGATCTTGGACGGTTGTTTGTTAATTTGTAAGAGAAATATTTACGAGGGATTGCGATTGAAACTATGTTCTGTGTCCAAGCCTAGATCTGGTCTTGGCCCACACCAGGCCCATAAATATGCAGGTGAGCCTGGCCCAATACTTCAGGCCTGGGATGTCCCAGAATATTATAGATTATACATACTAATGGTATATATTATAGATTATACATAACTACAAATTTATGGTTGTAGGCCTCCAAGCCTGACCCATGATCACTCTATATGTTGAATAAAGAAAATCGTGGTAGGCTGTATGAATGAGCGAAAGATCGGATTAATTGAACACAATAGTATAGAACCAATGATAACACCCCATGCTAATCATAAAATACATGGGCCCATAAGTGAGAGATTGAATTATATGGCTCCAGTGTATTTTATGCAATGTTTTTAAAATTGAACTGGACAGGGAATCATTTTGGGGATCAGCTTTCGGGTTGAACAGTTCGACTATCCGGTCTGAATGGATTACTTGTTTTGACAAAAAAATTAAAAAACAAAAATAGCCAAAAACCATTGTTTGGGTTGACAATTCGACTGTTTGGATCAGCAGTTCACTGACCAAATCAACAATTTTTTGACCAAAAAACGGGTTTAGGGTAAAACGGAATCAATCACCTGACCAGTTTCTAGGTTTTCTGGTCTAGTTTTGAAAACACTGATTTTACTGGAATGAGATGTTATCATTGGTTCTGCAGCCTGTTAAACAAACATTTCATTCAATTAATCCGAGTTAGAATGGGAATTTCTAAGTTTGAGTTAATTTTTCATTCAAAAAATCAAAAGAAAAGTGGTAAAAAAAGAAAGAAATCGTAGAGGAAAAAGTCATTCAATTCCAGATATTTGGGAAATGTTCCGATTGATTGAACATGAAAGAGTAGGTCTGAGGACCATATTGCCTTTTTGAGTTG